TATCCTTACACGTTGTATGACATCATGATTCTGAATTATGATGTTGAAGGGATCACCTCATAAACAGTTGGCTTTACTTTGTGTGAATTTTCCGGAATAATTGCCATCTGTTTTACGTCAGGTGGCGTAAAACTCGGTGAAAAACGCGATATTCGCGGTGGTATGCAGTAGTCGTGAAATATATTTTTCACTAGTGTTTTACATATCACTAGGGTGAAACTCCATTATATATCTCAAATACTACAATGCACAGATATTCAAAAGGTTGATCGTATAGTCGTGATGACAACAAAATTAGGTGATGCCTCATGGCATTCTATGTAACAACAATCTCGCGCTACGCTACGGCATACAAGCGACGATAGGTAAATCGGAGTCATTCACATCACCAGTTTTCCTAAAACCACTCTCACACAAGTCCAGGAAGAACCTACCTTTTTCGTGTCTGTTTTCGGAGTGTATGATCTCCCTGATGTTTTCGGTTGTGTTAGGAAGATTCCTGTCGGCCGACTCACTCTGGCAGCTATCGAGCTTACAGTAGGTCTCCGTTCAACCTACTGCAACTCATGTAAGATACAGTGGAGTTTCACCCGTTTTACGTGGCGTTAAACTCGGTAAAAAACGCGAAATTCACGATATGCAGTAGTCGTGAAATATGTTTTTTTCAAATCACTAGGGTTAAACTCCAGTGTTGGAGTAGGAATATACGTTCGCTTTCCTCAGCTGAGCTCCTCACTAACTAATGGAATTTATATGCGCTAGAGCAGAAGTGTTCATAAAAGAAAGAGAATTTCCCAAGAATTCTGAAAAATTTTCATATTGTCACCAATACAGAGTTTACCATGTGCATATTTCCCTCACACACTGTCAACATCAGAAATATGCAGAAAAACTGCGAGATCAGGAAAACCACCTGAGATTTTCTCACGAGGTTGAAATCAACTACAACAGGGAAATAATGGAGTTTCTCCCTAGTGATATGAAAAAAACCAGTGCAAAATGCATTTCACGACTACTGCATATTATCGCGAATATCGCATTTTTCACATGGAGTTTCACGCCACTTCACGTAAAACGGGTAAAACTCCATTAATCCTATATTAACTACTGATAATACGTTATGAACATAATAATTGGGAGTTAATAATGGTGTTTCACCTGAATTTAACGAGAAGTGGCGTAATACTCCGTGTTATTATAGGACGTATATGTTTCCGCGAACACCGATAACACAAACGTTTTCCGCGAAGTGACTTGTGAAATATGTTTTTCACTAGTGTTTTATCTTCACTAGGGTTAAACACCAATCCAGTGCTAGAATATATCTCCGCTTTTCTCAGCTGACTCTAGAAATTTCCTCACTGCATAATTTATAGAAGTTTACATACCAATTCGTGTAAAAGTGTATAGGAACCAATGAAAATTTCCTAAAATTTCCCTCAGAATTTCCACAAATTTCACCTACACATGTAATTGAGCATGCCAATCAATTAGAACACTCCTCAAAAGTCTAATAATACGATAACGAATATACACCGACCCACTGGTAGTTGCTTCCGTTGCTGAGCCACAGCCTCCTCACGTTCTCGCCGGCGCTCCCCATAACGTCGAATCGATGAGTCCGAACTTGGTAGTTTGTAGGGATTGCATCTATGCATCAAATAAATGTAATTCCCAGCTCACTCCAGAACAATACTGCTATGGTGATGATATGGTCAAGAGGATCTTATCCTTCTATTTCTAAACATCGAATTCATCTGCCATGGTGTAGCCTACACCGTGTAGATTTGAGCAGAGTTGCAACGGTTGAGATGATTGAACACATCTATTTCTTCACGTCATACCCTCATATTAATTCTCTGTATATTATCGCTTCGCTTCGCTATAGCTGATCGCTTGTTCATAGCGATTATACGTTTCTTTGATACGCGATGGAGGATCCTCTAATATTTCCACGCGATACGTTACAGTAGGCGATATGTGAAAAGGATAGTAAAAAGTGTTCCTCATAGTAGAAACTCCACTACTGACATTTTCATCAATACACGATTAATTCCGTTGTCAATCGTGTGATATTTACAACACTAAGTCCATACTCCTCGCTGAGGTGGGATCGAACTGGGAACCTCAACATTACTGGGCTATAAGCTCACTTGAACGCCATTCAATTCAGTACAACAACAACAACAACATATACAACAACAACAACATATACAACAACAACAACAACAACAACAACAACAACAACAACAACAACAACAACGGCAAGAGTTATAACTTAACAACGAGCACCATACGAGCACCTTACTCTGAGTCGTTGGATGCTGAGCTCTCGGGGCTCGCGATGGAGCTTCTTGCCGCCATTGAAACAATGAACGATGTCTACTCGGATTCACTAAATTGAGTCCTACGTCTACAACTATGCAGAATCCTATATATTGGAGTTTCACCCGTGATATGGAAAGAACACTAGCGGAAAACAAAAAAAATCTTCCAGAGGTTTGTAAGCAACATTTTGACTCTGGGCAAGTCCAATCCTATAAGGTGAGAGAACCCAACAGAGAGGGTTGAGGGAATATGAAAGCCTTGAATAAGCTTGATCGGCGGTGTGGCGGGCAGTGCGGGAAAATATGCACATGGTCAACTACATGTGTAGGTGCCGATATGGAAATTCTTAGGAAACTTGAGGGAATTCTTATTGATTTCTCTACAATTTTACGTGAATCCGTATACGAACTCCTATTATTGGTGAGAAAACTCCTGAGCTCAGCAGCTGAGGAAACCGAACATATATTCTAACACTCGTAGCGGGTGCAATGATCTCAAAGATACAGAAGTGGGATCAAATCATTATATCGTGATTGGAAAATATACACAGTGTGCTGAACGGCAGGAGGCCGCACCAACGGATCACCCAGGAAGAGCGACGGACAATGAGGAAGCGAAGTCCTTAGCCCGCATCTTCCCGGGCGGGAGGCTGTGGGGAACTCGCCAACTGCACATGCGTGCTGGTTTCCCCGGACCATCGGTAAACACCTGTACCGTCTGATATTTCACGACCACTGCAAAGCCACTACACTATTCAAGTGAGGGACTGAAACCCAACCTCCTCATATATCTGTTTATGTTATGTTCACTATGCAAGACCGAACGATGCACCGTTCACTCCTACAGTATTAGCACCGCCTCAGTGCATAACTTACCATTTTTTGGTGGGACGGCGTAACGGACCAAACTCTAACCAAGACTGAGAGGTCTTAAACTGATACTGCCTCTATACAAATGACAATGAACTTATCGTACGCAAGTACATAGCTACTCGGAGGCGCTCGACGCCATTCATCGTCCCATGATGCACTCATCACATCTTCCTACAACAATCAGACCACCAACAAGTGAGCTCCTCAGAGCCTTGGTTATGACAGTTGAAGCCTCACCACACTCAAATGAAGAGTCTAGGTGTTATACTTAGTTACTGTCTCGCCTCATGATTCGGAAATGCCAACCTCTATCGGCTGTAGCATTGCTCTCCTTTATTATTACTCATGATCATAATACTCCTCACTTTCCAACAGATACTAAACTTATATGTTGTCATCTCAATACCAGTAGGAAACGATCGACATCCACTTATCATCCTCAGATGCAATTGCACAATTCTCATCTCAAACTCACATAAGTCTTGCTCGCCATTGTGTATGAGTACCGGTCACGACTAACACCGCTTCACTTCAGTGCATGATAACTCACATAAGTCTTGCGAGGCCATTATATACGAGTAACGGTCACGACTAACACCGCTTCACTTCAGTGCATGATAGCTCACATAAGTCTTGCGAGGCCATTGCATACGAGTAACGGTCACGCTTAGTGCATTATAACTCATTACTATATCGAAGCCGTATTAAAGTATCCGTCCAAAACTCCACTTAGTAAGCGTGGGACGAAATTACATTTACGAAATCGCGTAAGAACGTAATACGCCCCTTACCGGTATCACAATTGTCTCCGCTCCGCTCATACTCTGATGATGTAATTATCCACACTGCACTCACCCTAGCGATATAAAAAACTCGTGAGTGAAGCACATATTTCACATTTTACTCCACGGAAAACAATTGGAAACATATACGTCTTATAATTTTCATGGAGTATTACACCACTACACGTTAAACGGGTCGTGAAGCTCTAATATATTCATATTTTCATTGCCGGAAAACAATCGTATCATCGGTGTTCGCGTAAACATATACGTCTTATAGTTTACGTGGAGTATTACACCACTTCACGTGAAACAGATGAAACTTCATTTCGCACCGTTAGTTAGAAAAACAACACATTATGTATCCTCCAGAAGCTCCTATCACCCTCAAATCACTATCAAAAGTGCACTCTCTCCTCACTTCATCACTACTGAACTATATGCACATGCTCAACTACATGTGAAGTTACACGACTAAGCCTGTGTCTGCGTCCACAATAGGGCGAGCGACATCAGAATCACCACGCACGAGAAAACGAGCTCTTCCAGAGCGTGGACCCACGACACAAGTAACTACCTATCTAGTTCTATAAGGGGAGAAAAACGAAACTAAACCGGTGTATCACAAACTGATGGTCGGCATGCATTCACCTCTACCTAAATTCGAGTATAAACTCTCACAATTAGTCAGCAAACTCCCGAGCCCAGTAGCTGAGAGAAGCGAACATATATTTCAGCACAACAAACCGCAAGTCCACATCAAAAAAGCTACACAACAAGCTTATGAGCTAAGACCGATGAGGAAAGATAAACCTCTGTTCATCATCCTGTGATGAAATTGCACAATTTCTGTCCCCAATCAATTCTATCTTGACAAACCGCTTATTAAATCACACAACAAGAGTAAGCATTGAATGCTTATGAGACAGGACCGACACAGTAAAAGCAAACTACGTCTAAAGGGACACAGCCACCAGACGTAGTTAACTACAAACTAACAGTAGTAGTAGTATCATCATCAGAAGTCCTTTGCCCAGTCCATGTTCACACAATCATCCGACATTTCCTGAACAATCTCATTAGTGTGGGGAAAATTGAGAAAATTTTGTGAAAATTTTTGGAAATTATATTTTTTTTCCAACCACTTCTACCCGAATTAGCATGGGAACTCCGAAGCTCAGCTGACGAAAGCAAACATATATTCCTCTAACACTGTTACTCACATACGTTGACCGGAGTTTCACCCACGATACGAAAAACAAATTTCATAAACCACTACATATCGCGATTTTCGCCACTTCACGTGAAACGGATGAAACACCACTGAGCTCTCACTCACCTCTCCTGAGTTTTCCAAACTCAACAGTCCAGGATCAGTTGCATCTATCCATTGTTTCATCGTTTGCTCTCTATCAGGCACCCACTGCGACTTCACACTCCGCGACAAGAGCCCGTCCTGAATCACATACCCAAAATTTCATTTGAAAAAAATTTCCCGAAACGTACTAGACAACTAAATGCATTTTACCAAAACAAAACTCCCCAAAGTTCGTCACACGAGAATCAACAGAGATTCACCACCCTAGTGATATGAAAAAAACACTAGTGAAAAACATACTTCACAACTACTGCATATCACCGCGAATAACGCCTTTTTCACAGAGTATCACGCCACTTCACGTAAAACTGGTAAAACTCCAATATATCCACAAACTAACCTACGTTACATTCTTGTCCAATGACTCAACATTATTATCAATACCATTAATCCCATACTTCATTAAAAGATATCGATATACAATTCCCCATTGATTGATAACATATAATTAGATTAGTAATACTTATGAACATATATAATGGATATGTTTTTCACTAGTGTTTTCCCCATCACGTGTGAAACTCCAAAAAACTATATTTAATATCGTTACTATTAAAAAATTAGCACACCCTCCTTACGAAATCAAATTTCTTAAAGTACGGATGTCGCTTTATCTCCTTAGCCCCCGAGATGCCTCCGCCAAGCCTCTCCTCAGGATTTTTTTGCATCAACCCTGTGATGATAGACTTCGCGTTTTGATCCCGCAACCACGACGGAAACCTTAACGGTGCTTCTGACCATCAAAAACAACTAGTTTGGGAAATATGTATATAGTCAAAAAATTCTCATCGCGAGTAAACTCACTTTTTTCAGATCGAAATCAGCTCATGCTCAACTACGTGTGTTATGAAAATTCTGTAAAGAAATTTTGAGAAATTCTCATTTTTTTCTGCACACTTCTACCCAAATTCATTTGCAAACCTCAATAATATAACTTTGGGAACTCCTATACTCAGCTGAGGAAAACCAAACGTATATTTCAACTCCAGCACTCACCGATGATCTGCCGAAACAACTCCAGTTGATCGTCAGTGTCACCACCAAACGGCAAAGGTCCACATATAAACTCATACATACAAACACCAGTCGACCACCAATCAATGCAGTCCGTATAGCTCCGTCCTAGTATCACTTCTGGTGCTATATACCTGCATATTGAAAAAAGCGCTCGCCCAAGTAATCGATAATGGATACACAACGCTTCATGTAAAGCTGAGTAATCATGCACTACATACGTTGGTGACAATATTAAAATTCAGAAAACTCCGCCAAACTCATACATAGACTCCCCAGATCATCCGAAGCGAGCGAACAACATATATTCCATAAATACAATCCCTACTTACTCTGGAGTTCCCATAAGAGTGTACGACCTCGACGCCTGTTTGCAACAGCCGAAATCAACCAACTTCACACAGCCGTCAAAATCCAACAGTAAATTTTCTGGCTTCAAATCTCGATACCTATTACAACACATCAACACTCCTTCATACAGTGCGAAGCGAACAGATAAGCATATCTACATTTTTTACACGGCTTGAGATTAGTACGACTAAAGACTACGAAACGCTTCTAAAACGTCTGCGCGTTTTACGCGTTATTCACTTCTCACATGCGTTTTCCGCAAAGTGAATATGAAACATGTTTCTCACTAGTCTTTTTTAAACCATTTCGAAGGAGTTTCACCACCCTAGTGATATGAAAAACATATCTCGCGACTACTGCATATCACCGCGAATATTGCGTTTTTCACCGACTCCACGTAAAACGGGTTGTGAAACTCCAATGAGAATTCATATCTACTCACATTATTCCTTTTTCATGCAGATATTCGATCGACAGTATTATACTTGCCGAATAGTAACGGGCTTGGAATTCGCTCAGGTTCCCAATCTCGCGAATAGCATTGAATAAGTCACCACCTCCCAAAAATTCCGTTAAAAAATATCTGACAAAAACCCCAAAAATACCATCAAGTTTCCATATAATGACACAATGAGTTTCACCACCTAGTGATATGAAAAATATATTTCACGACTACTGCATATCACCTCGAATATCGCGTTTTTCACCGAGTTTTACGCCACTTCACGGGTGAAACTCCAATATTATCAAAACCTAGGGAGCGTTATTTTCCAAAACTGGAGAACTCCTCTTAGAAATTACGTCATTTACGTTCCCAACGTCGCGGGAAATATGCACATGGTCAACTGCATGTATTAGTAACAATCTTAAAATTCTGAGAGAAAATTCTGGAAAAATTCTTATTCCCATACCCTACTTCGTATAACTACGAATGGCAACTCTCCAGCTCAACTGAGGAAAGCGAACATACATTCACCTACACATTTTTCTCATCTTGAAAAGTTTTCACAAACTGCACTATGCAGGGGTGATAAAGTTGAAGTAATATTTTCCTCTCAATATTGATCGAATTTTCCTGCTGCATCGCAACCACATGTTTCTTCGACACCGCTTTCAATGCATACTGAAAAAAACAACTAATCAAAAAATCGCAAAAAATATTTTTTCACCTCTTTTTCGGGACTTTTCCTATTCCTCACCAGAAAAACTCTACCAAAAGTCCCGTAACCAACAACGGCGACAGGCTCCAAATCGTCCTTTTTAACAGTCTCGTCCTAAACAATGGAGTTTCATTTGCGACACGAAAAAAACATACGTCATCACTCAGCGGAGTTTCACCGTTTTCCGCGAAATTCGGGTCATGCAGTAGTCGTGAAATATATTTTTCACTACTGTTTTTTCACATCACTAAAACTCCATAATATTAATTTTTCCATCGCATTTTCAATTCTCAATAAATCAACACCCACCTGTAGTTCGATCCGATTCACCAGAGACTGTCTAAACGGACCGACGATATCCAGAAAAACCTAAAAACATTACAAAAAATTACAAAAAATTACAAAAAATTACAAAAAAATCAAGAAAAATTTTCTCGTCCGGTGAGCAACATTCTCAGGGAACTATTTCAATATAATAAATCGCTTTCTCCTGATCTGACATTCATCATAACTCCTGTTGTCATCGTTGAACTTCAAACTCGCAATCGTGTATATTCACTAGAGTTTCACAAGCCGTTCTACGTGAAGTGTCGTAATAATACTCTGTGAAAAACGCGATATTCGCGGTGATATGCAGTAGTCGTTAAATATCACTAAGGTGAAACTCCATTAGAAAATCCTATTTCGCCCTTTTAAGCACTCATTCTCACTCACTACCCCAAAAGTTTGCAACACTACTACAATAGAAACCATGAAATGCCCCCACCTGTTTTTGCAGTATCAAACACGTCGTTGGCTCAGCTGCTGTTATTGTAGCACTTCTAGGAATCTCAAATAGCAACCCGCGCTCACCAAAATATTCCCATCTTGATAATGTACGAACTACCCCCTGAAAATAAAATCACATTTGCGCGATTTGAACCCGGGACCTCAATGGAGTTTCACCACCCTAGTGATATGAAAAACATATTTTACGACTACTGCATATCACCGCGAATATCGCGTTTTTCACATGGAGTTCTACAAACCGTTGAGCCTCCAATAAACGCTCTTAAGAACCACTAATTTCGGGCGAGCGAGAAATCATCCAATTCCTCACCTTTCCGGGTATTTCCACCGACACACTTCCTTTTCCGATCAGATAAAAATTATCAGACGGATCGCCCTAACAACAATATACACAAATCTTGAAATCTTACCTCCACTTGCATTTCCTCAACGCTTACAAATGTGCAGATTTTTGCAAAAGCATCAAAACTTCGCTTCGACATGTTCATCACCACTCTCGAGAGCTGCTCTTTCGTGAGAGTTTTAAATAAATATATTTCCTGCAATATCGATCGGATCTGAAAATCAATCAGGAAAAATGACATCGCTCACATTCTAAATTTCCGAAATTAATCAACTCCATATTTTCAGGAATTGTGCGAAAAAAACAATAGAAATTATATTCAACGACTTGCTCAATAGAGTTCTCAAATGTATGTATTATTGCACCATTGGAATTCCACGCCCCGTTTTACGTGAAGTGGCGTAAAACTCTGTGAAAAACTCGATATTCGCGGTGATATGCAATAGTCGTAAAATATGTTTTTCATATCACTAGGGTGGTGAAACTCCATAGTTACATGTGATCTACATACACAACATGTACAAACAACCATATTCACGATTCTGATTTCTCATCCCAAACAACAAAATTTCAAATATGAAATTTATAATAAACCCCCCGCGACCGTTTTCCGCTCCTCTCACTTCGTTCCATTCGAGATAGCGTCGCACGCAAGGTGGCCTCCCAGCAGGGGTAGATGACGACACATCGTACAATGGGTGAACCTACAAATAAATAACTACTAGCGTAAAGCGGTTGAGTTTTTAATGAAATTAATCTTGAAAATATATAATAATATAATATTTACACGTGGAGTTTGACCCTAGTGATATGAAAAAAACGCCCCTGAAAATAAATTTCACAAACATATCACCGCGAATATCGCCCGAACTTTCTCACCACTTCACGTAAAACTACTCAACAATACTCTCATCACAACTCACCATATTAAAACTATTCCTCAGCTTTTCCAGAAAGGCCGCGCTCTTTATCGCAAATACGTGTAACTGCTCAGAAATAAAATAAAAATGAGACTAGTCTCCAAACTCAGTAACGTTCGAAGACTCCCAAGTTATAATTTCGAAAATCAATACTTCCAATTTCGTATAAACCATTTTGTTCATTCCTAATGGTAGTTTAACATTAATTTCTCCATCACTGCGAAGTTTCACCCGTGGTATTAAAACATTCGCAGAAAAAATATTTCACATTCCCCTTCGCGAAAAACACGCACTTTGTCAGTGAGTAACGCGTGAAAAAACACATCATGTTTTTCACTTGAAATGAGGTGCAATTCGCCGTGCGTTTTCGATAGTGTCTATCGCGTTTTACACCACTTCACGTAAAACGGGTGAAACCCCCCTTCAAAAATCGTTCATCGTCACCTTCTTACTCCATCATCACTGGTGGCAGTCAACATAAAATCAACTCTGCGGTTGTCCAAGAACTCCTCCTCACCCACACAGCAACCAGCAGTAACCTCCTAACACAAACAAACTTCCCCTTTTTGCTGCCAACCTCCAACGCCGTGTGATTTACTCTAGAGGAGTTTCCATTATGTGAGGCAGCTGGTCGCAACTCCGCCTGAAAAAGAAATAAAATACCTCCACAAAGATTTGAACCCGGGTGGATCGATTCAAAGCCACGACAACTAACCATTTCACCATTTATCCACCCTTCAACTCACCGAGCCACACAGCACTATAAAGACCCTGGACTCATCATCACCTTTCCCTTTGACCACCATTTCTCCTTTTTTGTAATGATCTGCATACCACAACAATACCACTCCAAAATATTTTCGCTTTCCTCAGCTGATGAGCTCAACAGCTTCCTCACTAACTATTATATACCGATCTGGAGACTTCGCAGAAACTACCCCAAATTTCCTAGCAGTTTTCAGATTGTCACCAACACATGTGGTTGGCCATGTGCAAAATACAACTACAAAACAGGAACTCGAAATCCTCTCGAACAAACTAATGCCGTTTCAAAACAGCTAGGAACATATTCCCCGCCGATTTTCGAGATTCTCCCCATTATAAAAATTGCTCATTCGGAACATTTGCTCCTACTCTCCGCGGGATCCTAGGAACGTTATTTCTGAGAGCTGGACGACGCCCTGCTACAAAACACTCACATTCCTCAACAACGTCCACTAAGTAGTTTTGCTGTTCCCGATCGAGTTTCTCATAGAAATCAAGATTCTTCAGCACGCCCTTTTTAGACGCTCTCTTCAGTACTTCCTAAAAGAGACCATCCACACTACACAGTAGATCCTCGCAACCCGTTTAACGTGAAGTGGCGTAATACTCCATGAATATTATAAAACGTATATATTTCCGCGAACACCGATAACACAATTGTTTTTTCGCGAAGAAAATTGTGAACTAGTATTTTTCACATCACTAGGGTGAATCTCCATTAATAACAAATTCTAATTATTATTAGACTTACACCCCTTCAACGCGAAGGGGTGTAATACTCCATGAATATTATAAAACGTATATATTTCCGCGAACATCGATAACACAATTGTTTCCCACCGAATAAATTGTGAAACACATCTTCCACCACTGTTTTTATTATAACCAGTGAAACTCCAATGACTCCGACTATGGCATAAACAGTGCCGCTAACCTCAGCCAAGGTTCGATCCTCAGTACGGACATTTTCCATCTTTCATAAAATGTAATTTCACGACTCGTTCAACGCGAAGTGGTGTACTTCTCCACGTAAACTGTAGGACTATCCAATCCTCGAGTATCACCTTCATCCGTGATGTAATAAACACTAGTGCCAAAAATACTTCGCAAATTAGTTCCCGGAGAGAAACGGAGTTTCACGACCCGTTTTACGGGAAGTGGCGTAAAACTCGGTGAAAAACGCGATATTCGCGGTGATATGCAGTAGTCGTGAAATATGTTTTTCATATCACTAGGGTGGGTAGAAGTCCAATTTTTCTCAGCATTCACGTCCTATAACATCACTTCACGTTAAACAGGCGGAACTCCAACACACTACTATTACCTTTATATTGGAATTCAATTTCGCCAAACCGTTTCTCGCCAGCGCCAAGCATACAACATTCCCATCAGCGCGAGAATTATAATAATTCTTCCAGTGATGCCTACCGATACCACAACAACTACAATTGAACTCTCACAGAGTAACACACGATGTAGTTTCACCACCCTAGTGATATGAAAAACAACACCAGTGAAAAACATATTTCACGACTACTGCATATCAGGTTTTTCACAGAGTGTCACGCCACTTCGCGTAAAACGGGTGATCTCCTACTGATTTACGTTCTCCCGAAAAATTACAGCGTTGGAGTAGGAATATATGTTCGCTTTCATCAGCTGAGCTCAGGAGTTCCCTATACAGTGTTGGAGTAGGAATATATGTTCTCTTTCCTCAGCTGAGCTCAGGAGTTTCCTATACAGTGTTGGAGTAGGAATATGTGTTAGCTTTCCTCAGCTGAGCTCAGGAGTTTCCTATACAGTGTTGGAGTAGGAATATATGTTCGCTCTCCTCAGCTGAGCTCAGGAGTTTCCTATACAGTGTTGAAGTAGAAATATATGTTCGCTTTCCTCAGCTGAGCTCAGGAGTTTCCTATACAGTGTTGAAGTAGAAATATATGTTCGCTTTCCTCAGCTGAGCTCAGGAGTTTCCTATACAGTGTTGAAGTAGAAATATATGTTCGCTTTCCTCAGCTGAGCTCAGGAGTTTCCTATACAGTGTTGAAGTAGAAATATATGCTCGCTTTCCTCAGCTAAGCTCAGGAGTTTCCTATACAGTGTTGGAGTAGGAATGTAGTCTCGCTTTCCTCAGCTGAGCTCAGGAGTTTCCTATACAGTGTTGGAGTAGGAATATATCCTCTCTTTCCTCAGCTGAGCTCAGGAGTTTCCAAAGCTCATTACACCCTTTTTACACGACATTTCGGCTAGAAATATACAGAAACCCAATTTTTCTCAAAATCTTCACCAACACATACAGTCCATCACATATATATTTCTCCCACCCCAACAATTATACTACATAAGACTAACTCCGCCACAAACACTCCCAGGCTCCAGCATGAGCTCACTTCCCTCTCCGTATTGGCTTCGTACCCTCCCAGACTGAATCTACCAAGCAATCGTTAACTACCCGAAATTTCCCAAAATTTCTATCTTTTTTTCCAAAGACCATAAATTGCGCGCAATAATAATGGAGTATCACCACCACCCTAGTGATATGAAAAACGTATTTCACGACTACTGCATATCACCGCGAATATCGCCTTTTTCACCGAGTATTACGACGCCACTTCACGGGTGAAACTCCAATGATATTACTCACGAGTGTGGGAAAATTCATATAGTAAACTCCTCAATTGGGCTCTCAAAAAAGACAACATATATTCCGAAACCACAACAATTTCAATTCAACCAGTGTAAAGGGAAATATGCACATGGTCATCATCTCCATGTGTTGGTGATGATGACAATAATGAAATTTGAAAAATTCTTATTGCTTTCTGCACACTTCTACCCAAATTCGCATATAAACTGTTTAATACACTTTCAAAAACTGCTATACTCAGCTGAGTAAAGCTAACATATATAACCTCCCCCCCACTAGAAACCCAATACTACTATGAGCAGCCAATCCCCAGGATCATCCCGTCGCAGTATTTGCTTATTGTCATCAAATTTCTGCACAGAACCTGACATCAGACTTCCTGAGAGGAAATGCAACCCAACTAGAATCCAGATCTGATAATGCGAAATTCTAGATACGAAAAAATTCCCATTTTTTCTCAGCAAAGATACCGTAAAGTTTCATTCAATCAGCTGAGCTCAGGAACTCCTCACGTGTTATACGAATTCGGGTAGAGCGCTCGGAAACCAACGAGAATTTGCGCATATTTTCTCACAATTTTCATATTGTCATCCCACCTCCACACTAGCGCCTTCATTTTTTGATAAAACCTTCCCCACTGTTTTCACAATGGAGTTTCACCACCCTAGTGATATGAAAAGGAATATATTTAACGACTACTGCAAATATCATCGCGTTTTTCACCGAGTATTACACCACTTCACGTAAAACAGGTCGTGAAATTGCAGTGTATTTCCCAGACCTACAAATGGATGCTAAGGACTTCTTATCAGCATCACTCAGAGTGGCAAAGTCTGGCTCGTCGCTGAAGAACTTGACTACATGTGCCAAGCTTCTGCCCTGCAGTAGCTTCATCACCTTTTTGAAAGTTCGCCCATATATTTCCCACAACACCTATGCACACACAGACGAGATTTTATCAAAAATTCCGATACCAAAATTTCGCACAGATGAAAACGGAGGAGGAATACTTCTGAAAATTTCTGCTGAAAACTCCTAAATGCTGAGACGCCGAGAAATACTGTTTCCGTGCTGAAACAGAATGCTAAAAACTACTAAAACATGAAATTCTGACAAGAATTGTCCCACCGCAATCTGAACCAGATGCACACACTAAAGACGAACTAACAACAATGTGAGAAGATGTGCACATGGTCAACTACATATGTTGATGACAATATCGGAATTTTGGGAGGAAGTCACTGTCAATTTCTACTCGAAATCGTATACTTGGAAACTCCCAAGCTCAGCTGAGGGAAGCGAACATATATTTCCCAACACTGACTCACCCTCGGAGTTTCACAACCCGTTTTACGGGAAGTGGCGTAAAAGCCTATGAAAAGCCCGATATTCGCGGTGATGAGCCGTCAATATGAAATATATTTTTCACTACTGTTTTTCATATCACTAGGGTAGTGAAACTCCATCGCACTATAAGCCAACACATATTCACACAACTACAAAGCTCATCGCCCCTACTACCCCTGTTTGTTTGCACTTTACAGTTGCCGTCCTCTTCACATTATATAACATGGCGAGCTCTCCAAAGGTACTTCCTTTCCCCAACGTTTTAACATTAACCTCATCAATGCTAATCTCAAATTCTCCGCTCTGGACTGCATAGCACCGATCGCCATCCTGAAAAAATGAGGAAATCAAAATACACATCAAAATTCCTTGTCTTTGTCTTTGCACAGTACATTTACAATAACAATTCTTATATATACTATTGATAAAATTAAAATATATTTTTTATTACTATTTTCATAATACTATGAAAGTTTCACCCGTTTAACGTGAAGTGGCGTAATACTCTATGTGAAAAACGCGATATGAAGTAAACTGAAAACACTTGGCGATTCACCCCATATCACGTAAAACACATACCACGTGTTTTTCGCGCTGCTCACAATTGTATTCCGCGACGAATATTTCTCACTAGTGCTTTTCAAAGAACGCGTTTTTTGAAGAAAAACTTTCAAATATTTTCGAAAAATTTTCCCCCTCATAAAAAAACTGAGCAAATCTATACAATTCGATTTAGAGCACCGGAATAGGCTCGATCGTTTTTCCAGCAAATTCCTCAGTCCCGCGGGAAAAATACCCCCACCCAGAATCGAACCCGGGTCTTCCGATCACCAACCCACTACATCTCCCTGTTGAAATAACGTCTGTCCGCCTTCGATCACACTCTTTTTCATACGCATTATAACTTCATCCCTCTCCTCAGCTTTCAGAGACGCGAATAAAAAGTGTTTTTGAACAACGCGCCGCAGAAAACTGAGCACCAACACCACACAGTAAGCAAAGAATCAATTAAAATCAAAACTTCCGAATAACCGGTTTGGAAAAATATGCACGCATGCCCAACTTCGTGTATACATCATGACACTTGTGAAAACTATGAGGAAAAGCGAGGAAATTCTCGAGGAAACACGACTACTGGGATGGAAACTGGTACTTTTGTGTGGGGGGAAATATACACATGGTCAACTACATGTGTTGGTGATAATATGAAAATTTTGGGAGGAAATTCTGGGGAATTCTCATTGCTTTCTGTACACTTCTACCCGAATTCTATAATTAGCTTCGGAAACTCCTGAGCTCAGCTGAGGGAAGCGGCGAACATATATTCCTACTCCAACACTACAAATGACCAAGTGAACTAACTCGTGAGAAAATTTCTGTTATTTTTTTCGTAAATTTTTCTGTTTTTTTTCTGTACACTTCTACCCAAATTCGTATGCACTAAAATCATGATACCAGAATAAATCTGATGTCAACAGTGTGGGGGCGAAAATCTAAAAAATTCAAGAAAATTCTCATTGGTTTCTCTACACTTCTACCCAAATTTGTATGTACTGAAATTACGGTACTATATAGTGTGGGTGAAAATGTAAAAATTTTGAAAAAAATCCGGGAAATTCTCATTGGTTTCTGTACACTTCTACCCGAATTCGTATATACTGAAATTACGGTACTCAATATAGTGTGGGCGAAAATGTGAAAATTTTGAAAAATTTCCGGAAAACTTTCATTGGTTATAAACTGAGGAAAGCCAACATATATATTTTTCCATCCGTAATATCACTTTTTCTCTTCCAGAGTCATCTCGTTATTCACCGACGAGTCCGTCCCTTCCCCCTCGCTTCCCTTTGCTGCTAGTGTCGGCTTTTTCAACAATCGTTGGGCTCTTTTACGATGGTCACGAAGAGCAAAGCTACCAACACCACTACTGCTACTACCTGAAGAAACTGTGGGGTAGTAGTATTAGAGATAGGGCAAGTCCATGAACAACAACAACATATACAACAACAACAACAACAACAACAACAACAACAACAACAACATATACAACAACAACAACAACAACAACAACAACAACAACAACATATACAACAACAACATATACAACAACATATATAACATATACAACAACAACCACAACAACATATACAACAACAACAACAACAACCACAACAACATATACAACAACAACAACAACCACAACAACATATACAACAACAACAACAACAACCACAACAACATATACAACAACAACAACAACCACAACAACATATACAACAACAACAACAACAACCACAACAACCACAACAACATATACAACAACAACAACAACAACCACAACAACATATACAACAACAACAACAACAACATATACAACAACAACAACAACCACAACAACATATACAACAACAACAACCACAACAACATATACAACAACAACAACAACAACAACAACAACAACAACAACAACAACAACAACAACAACAACAACAACAACAACCACAGCAACATATACAACAACAACAACAACATATACAACAACAACAACAACAACAACCACAACAACATATACAACAACAACAACAACAACCACAGCAACATATACAACAACAACAACAACAACATATACAACAACAACAACAACAACCACAACAACATATACAACAACATATACAACAACAACAACAACAACAACATATACAACATATACAACAACATATACAACAACATGTACAACAACATGTACAACAACATATACGACAACAAGATGAATTGTGTACCCAAATAGCTGAGCACCATACCCGATCACCATCAACAACTGACCTTCCGATTGGCGACCGTTTCGTTTCAATATGATCTTCCCTGGTTCGGCTTTGGGCAGTACCACTCGCAGGCCGGACTCAATCGCTGAGTAAAAACAACCCAAATTCACCACGGACCAAAAACGCCCGATTTCAACCTTATCAAAATCGAATCGAACATATAAAACAATCTGAAAATACTAATTCCAAAAATGTCGTGATTAGCGATAAATGCACCAACAACGAAATTTAGTTTATCGCTACCTTTAGGACTTCTATGCTGAGCCTTTGGGGAGTGTTTTGATGTCGCAGAATTCATTTTCGGAGATTCTCGATCATTTGTTTCCCCGTTTCGGTATGCAGATGGTGGAACTGATCAGCGTTGAAGAAGAATAAACATTATAAAAATTATTATATAATTTTATATTATATTATTATCAAAGGAATTATATATATTTCCTTTCCTCACCCGAACCCAAAAAATTTACAAAAAAAATATTCACGAAAAAAATTATACAAAAAACTCTTTATCATGAACAGAAATTTCCCAAAATTTCCTCACATTTTCATATTGTCACCAACTCACTACAAAACTGACCACGTGCGTATCTTCCCACACGACCGCGAGAATTCTGGAAATTGCTACTGCATTTATTGAAACCCACGTTCCAGCAGCACATAGGGGGCCTCAATCGGGGTAAGGGAATTTCTTATGTTATGATGGGGACACTCAACGTCGGCTGAGTACAGTCAGGCAGCTGCGTTTATTTGTAGTTTAATTCTGCTAATTTGTTATACGGTGAGATATGATATATAACCAATCGATAATATATTGGAGTTTCACCACCCTAGTGACATGAAAAACATATTTCACGACTACTGCATATCACCGCGAATATCGCGTTTTTCACCGAGTTTTACGCCACTTCACGTAAAAAGGGTCGTGAAACTGCACTGTATAAATGTGAATATACAATAACGATAATAATAATAAATTAGATATAAACAAATTATACACTTCTAAGACATTCACCTGCAATTATTGTTGTGACCCTAGCAATGGTGAACTCGACATAACGATGATAAAGTTGATTTAATAATACTCTATCTACGATTGCAAATACGAGAATATCTAGCCCAGCTGATCACAATCTCAATGCACTACATATCTTAGAGCGCTCGCACAAAAAGGGACATAACATTATATTCAGCAGTGATGCAATATAAATTGTCGTTTTCCTCACCTGACGAGCTCAATACTTTCCACAGCTAATCGTAGGAGTTTGTATAAGAATTGCCACAAGTGTACAGAAACAAACAATGAATCGGAAAAAAAAATCCTCAGAATTTTCATATTGTCACCAACACATGTGCTTGACCGTCTGCGAAATCTACCACCTATCCAATACAATGAAATTTCACCACCCTAGTGATATGAAAAGAACACTAGTGAAAAAACTGAATATCACCGCGAATATCGCGTTTTTCACACACTTTTACGGGTCGTGAAACTCCAGTGTTATATCAATGCCCAAATCCCCAACAAAAATCATATATCCTCACCTTTTCCTGGCGTCGATGCTCCGCAACCCATAACAGCGTCACCAGTGATAGACAAATTAATACACACGAAAATGAGATGGAACACTACCAATGATAGAGTGCGACATATTCTCACCAACTCAACTCGATTCCCAAGTCCAGAAAATAATCGTTGGCTGGACGTTTTACCTCGAGTATAAACGTTACATATATACATTTATCTATACCGTCAATGGGGAAATCTTCCGGAAAATTTTCGTTTCCGACTCGAGTTTTTGAAAATAAAAATTTTCGTCGTAAATATTTCTTTTCAGAATGGAAAATTATGAACTTTCCAGATTAGATTTCAAAATTTCGTCAGAGAAAGTACATGTTCATTTCTCAAACGCTTTCACAGATGATCACTACAACGTCAGTGTTAGGGAAAAATATGCACATGACCAACCACGTGTTGGTGACAATAAAAAATGAGAAATTTTTGGTAAATTCTCATTGGTGTATGTGTACATTTCTACCCTAATTCGTATATGAACTTGTATAATGGAGTCTCACCCGTTTTACGTAAAGTGGCGTAATACTCCCCGATATTCCCAGTAGTCGTGAAATATATTTTCCACCAGTGTTTTTCATATCACTAGGGTGGTGAAACTCCAATGCAAAAAAGTATACTCTGTCGCCACTCGGTATGAAATGTACATGTTCATCACTCGTAATATGCGAGCGTTATGAAATTATTTATTTTTCAAGGAAAGTGAAACGGTTTGCAATATAGTAGAACCATTGTGCCTCGATTCACCACCAACAATTAGAAAATTACTCGATGAGAATATTCACTCATTTTACCATAGTCGTTTTCACATGTGTGTGCTCGAAAATTTCACAATGGAGTTTCACCCGTTTTACGTGAAGTGGCGTAATACTCTCTTCACCAAGGTGAAACTCTATTTACGAAACCGATTCGGTTTCCCACTCACTCGAAGCAAATAACCGTATAAAAAATCGTCGTCCAACGAGCGCATTCCTTTGTGAAAAAAATTAAAATTATATACGTCTACGATGGTAAATAATACGAATCACAATAAATGAATCTTTCATAGCCGTTATGATGCACTCGAATGATGAAACTTTTTCCAGCTTAAACATACGGAAATTCTGGTAAAATGTCATCCTTACCTGTAAAATTCCGCAAACACTGAAGTTTCACCGCCCTAGTGATATGAAAAACATATTTCACGACTACTGCATATCACCGCGAATATCGCGTTTTTCACAGAGTATTATTACGTCACTTCACGTAAACGGGCGAAACTCCAAAGTGTTTTTGAAGTATACCGTAAATCGATCACATCACAGACTTGAGACTACTAAAACGTCATGAGGAATCTATGTATTATCACCGGGAATTGAGAAATGCTCGAGAGCTATCACGGCCAAGGCGTAGAGGCCCCACTGCACTTTATATACGGCGTATAAACGAATCGTTATGCACAGTAGTGTTTTCAACTTCGTTGCCTTCAATTTTTGGGGAGTTTGTCGAAAGTCAACTTTGAGTAATATCAACTTTGATAACAATGTGAATCGATTGACACCAACGTTTCAGAAGCGTTCCGTAGTCTATAGTCGTACTAGTCTCAAATTGAAGAACTTAGCCATCTCGAAAATGTATATATGCATAACTGTACACTATCTCACTAGTAAAAATTAATATAAATAACATAATATAATATAACAATATAATTATAATATAATCTGTATAGATAACTATATTACCATGTATTAAATATTAATAAACTACACCTAGTGAGAGTGAAACCGTCGCAGTACAGAATATGTTGATCAATACAAAAGTAGAATTTCACCCAAGTGTATTTCCGTTCTAATTCATCATACTCAGTGTGTAAACATAAGACCAGTTCTAGTTCGGAAAAATAGTATTAGAAAGCTTCTTGTGAGAGAAAACACATAAAGAAAGCTTACCTCGGTGTATGAAGGCGAACATTCATTCCACCAACACGGTATAGTCTATACTAGTATTATACACGAAGTAGTTATTATAGTAATATCTATCTCTAGTGTAGAAATATATGTTCCTTTTCCTCACCAATTATAGCAGTTTACATACGAACCCGCTAAGAAAGGCACAGGAATCACTGAGAATTTCCCCCAAAAAATTTCCTCAGATTTTCCAATGTGTACTTCACCATGTGCATATTTTCCAACATCGTCTATCTCATAGAAAAGATAATATAAATCCCCCTACTACGAATTGAATACATCCAACGCAGAACCACAAATAATGACGGACGATTATGAAGACAGAAATGCATTAAACCTAACTTGCCAGTAACCTACCCCATGAAAGGAAGCGTTACCTCAGCACCTCATGTGGGTCATCATGCACATGACCGAAGCGATGCACTAGTATTCTGTGAGTAACATGACCATGGCGATCACAATCGTTCTCGGATAATTTTTTAACGAACACGGAAACTTTTACACGGCCAAAATCGTTTGGTCAAAAAAGTGTATTTTCCCAAAAGTGGTCACGATCGCACCTACACTCCGTGAAACCGTTACCGTTCCGGATGTTTATGGTCGCCATGAAGTATACCCAAACTACAAATTCTTGTCTGATCTACCTGCTTCACCTATCCTTTGTTGCGCTATGATCAATGCATCGGCAGACTTGCGAGATGAAGTAGAGAGAAACAAAAAGCAAGACAAGGTAACGATAACTTGGATATAATCGACAGCTGTTGAAATATATGTTCGCTTTCCTCACTTATGGCAGGTTACGTACGAATCTGGTTAGAAATGTACAGGAATCAATGAGAATTTTCCAAACCTCCGATTTCTCATCAACGATGTTGCTAGGGGTTGTAAACTGTACACCTTCGAATATTCAATACCGTCTTTTGTACGCCTACTTGACTAACCTGTTACTGCCAGAGTACACTTACAGTCTAAAACTCTAGGCGCTGTGATCATTATAAGTCTTCAACACATACGCCTAAGGCGTGAGATTTCACGTCTAACAACAACCATGTTTCCCATACTGTCACCAACACTTGGCCTCGTGCACACTTTCCAACACGAGCGGCTATTCTATTTCTCATCAATAACCACGCATTATACAGTTTATGTATACCGCCTCGATTACAGGTATTTTCTCATACACTTCGATGCCATGTATTGCAGATTCTCACGCTTTACGTGAAGTGGTGTGAAACTCGATGAAAACACGCGATATTCGCACTATGCAATAGTCGTGAGATGTGTCTTTCACCAGCGTTTATCATATCACGGGTGAAACTCTATTATACACCCGATTGAAGCTACTGCTAAAATACTTTTCTTAAGGCATCAGAGAGATTCCCATTTAAAGTAATCGTCACCAGCCTCTAACGACCTCGGACGCAAATTACCCATTTGATATTCGTATCATCAAACGCCCTCATTTAATGCGTCAGTCAAGGCTGAAACATACGCATGTCTACACAGCCAAACTGGCTTCGGTTAGAGCTAATACGAATATTCGTCATCAATCGCATTCCCGATAATAGCAGGTCATACAAATGCCTCAATAATCAGTCATTGAAAAGGTTACCGCATGAAATCATAGAGCCAAAACGGCTCAACCGACACAATTGGTTTCCAATCAGACTCGTCATCTTTTATAATCACTCCTGCAACTTATCATCCTATCATCACAAAGACACTCGTAACACAACAGTAAAACAACACCCGAGTTGAACCGAACTCAACCTCAGAGAATCTCCTTAGGCGGCGATAGCCATCTTCTTGGCAGCCTCCTCAGCAAGAGCCTTCTCACGCTTGGCGATAACATCGTTGGACTTCTGGCCCATGATTCCACCACCCCAGTGACGACGGATGTCAGTGTTCTCGTTGTACTGGACGTGCATGGTCTTCTGGATGGTCTCCAAAGCGGCGGCATCCTCCTTACCGACCTCAGTCACGGCAACAACAGCGGCAGTCTTCTTACCAACGAGTTGACCAAGACGAGACTTGCCCTTGATGATGCAGTAGGGGACGTCCTTCTTGCGGCACAGAGTGGGGAGCCACACGACGAGCTCAATGGGATCGACATCAGAGGCGATCACAACGAGCTTAGCCTTGTTCTGCTCCACAAGAGAGGTAACCTTATTGAGACCATAGGCAATAGCAGTGGGCTTGGTCTGAGTGGTCTCCTCACCGGCCTCCTTAGCCTTAGCGATGGCCATAAGACGGGCACGCTTGTCAGCGGGAGTCTCGGGACGGTACTTGGCCAAGAACTTGAGAACGTGAGTGGCCTGGTTCTTGTTCAAGGTGTTGGTGAACTGGTTGATCATCGGTGGGACCTAGAACGAAAAGAAATAAGATTCAACTACATTCGGAGGTAGTGAATTACAAAGCCACTCCAGATGACCAACCAACGGATGCTGA